CCCTCTGGGGGTTCTGAGATGACATTTTAGGGTTTGTGGAGACTTCTTCTTTTACCATCTTGTTTGCTTTCAGGGTAAGCTTGCTTAGATAGCCACACTTGGACATCTTGGTTGTTTTGACTGTCCTCCATTTGTAGACAATTTCTGAGTTCAATTTATTTGCGCAAGACTTGTTTTAATTCATAAGCTGCTCTAGTCTTCTTTACAAAGGCCTCACGCAGCTCTTTTGATCTCACCAGTGTGACAACATAAACTCAACATCAAGATTAGAGACACAAAGGGGATGTACAAGAAGAAGCTGCAATGTAAGTTGGAATATACAAGATGTGTGTTCAGGGACGAAAAATAAGCAGAATAAAAATCAGGCATATGGAAGTCTGAACAGACCCAGAAAACGTTTAACGGGTTCATTTCAGGAATCAGCTCTGCATCCTCCTCTCTTGCTTTCAGCTAACAGACGTCCCATCCAGTCAACACATGGCCTGTCACAATAACAAATTTTACTGGACAATAAATTGTCGCAGAAGTTATCGCGATAACCAATAATATTGTTGCTTTGAGACCATTTTCAAGAAATATAATGGTAAAGGAATAATGATGCACGAACATGTTCTCAAATATTAATTTTTAGTGAATATTTTAAAACTGGAACTTTAAATATCCAAACAAACGAGAAAAAAACAAATCAAATTATGAAGTCTTTGTAAACAAAATTGACAGCTAAGTCCAAAACACCAGACTGAAAACTTTTATCATCCAGTTTTTGTTAGAAAGAGAAAATCATGCAAATGAAAATGATTGAACTTGTTTTAATTTATCATCCGTTTAATTGATTTATTATGACAGGCCTAGTCGACACACAGCTTCTTGTCACACCTCATGGTTCATCTTTTGCCTCAGTCATAGATCATGTTGCTTCCTCATTGTTGTCCTCAGCCAAATCAGGAGACACTTGTGCTGCCATCATCTGCCCCTCCAGCCTGTTTGACGCAGGGCATCAGAAGAGGCAGCTGGAGAGGCTGGACAAGAACAGCACTGCAGGTCCACACTGTGTCAGCTTCAGAGTCCTTTTAACAACATGGGATTCTGCTGCACATTTTTAACTCCAGCCTGAACAAGGAGAAGGTTTGTGTGCTATGGAAGACAATACTGTCTTGTTTCACTAAGAAAGTTCGCCCGCCTGTCGCTAACAATCGAACTGTTGCGCCAACATCCCACAAATAAGGTTCTGGAGACTCTTGTTGATGCACATGGGACCATCATACAACTCAAACTCACTAGTTATATAATTTCCCAAGTGAATTTAACACAATTCAGCCAAATTTACCACATTGGAAGGTCCAGAAGACAAGCAAAGGCCTAAAGCATCACCTGGATCAATGCCTAACTAACAAACCACAGTTTTGAGACTTGATCGTTGAGTGTCTGACCAGCTGGACTGTACTCTCGCCATTTCTTTTTACTCTGTATTCCTCAGACTTTCAGTACAAGCCAGAGGCCTTTCATCCACAGAAATATTTGGATGGCTCTACATTTGTTTGTTGTATCAGAGATTGGCAAGTAGCTGAGTAAAGAGAACTGGCAGACCACTTTGTGGAATAGTGTGGGGGGGAAATGTCATCTTGAATGTGGAAAAAAGCAAAGAAGGATTGTTGATCTCAAGAGAAACAGGAATAGGTGGGACACGAAGGTGACAAAGGAGCATAGATACCCTAAAATACACCTAGACAACAGTCTAGGAGGGGAACACAACAGTGAAGTCGACTACAAACTGTACTTGTCAGGGAAGCTTAGGTCCTTTAGGTTTTGCAGCAAGATGTTGAGTATGTTGAGTGAAATTTAATCTGCCATCATGTGAAGGGGAATAGTATCAAAGTCAGTGACTTAAAATGCTGAACAAGCATTTGAGGAAAGTTGGGTCTGTGAATGTAGAGTCTTTAGAAATTAATATGCAACCCTGAGCATCTTCCTTGAATGACTTTCATACAAAGACGCTCCCATTGCCATCTAGAGTCTTTAAAGAAACTTGTATAGTAGTTTTAGTTACTATAACAGTATGAATAAAGTAATTACATGCTAGTGTTTTTAATCACTTTATTTGAATTTATGTGTGATTGTTTCACAGCTCAATACCTCCATATAACCTACTTTGTATTTAATTTCATACACAACTAGATCAGGATGTGTGTGCATGCACACACATATTAAGAAACTATCTGGTTTAAAATGAGCATCACTGGACATAGTTGGTGAGTATCAAGAGTGGAGGGATCTGAAATCTAAAAAGTGTTCAATAATCAGTCAAAACAGGAAGTGAAGGTCACGGGACTCAGGGGAAGCATCAGATATTAGAGAGCACTACTAGCACTTGACATATTTGGATCAAGGTCACATTGTGGGTTTGTTATTTTGTTTGAGGTCTTTTGGTCAAGTGCTGGTGTTAAATGTCAGTTATGATTTCTGGATGTCTCTGAATAATCCGTCAGTCATAACAAGCCTCTTGCAGTCTTTCAACAGGCACCGTTCAGTCCTTTGCTCAGAGGTGAGTCTCATTGACAAATCAGAAGCACATGGTTTTCACTTATGTGAAAACCACAGTTTGGGGGGTTGCAGATTTGTGATCTGTTTGTGTAGAAAAGTAGAAAAATACAAAACTGAAAAGGAAGGAATAAACTGAATTTCCTACAAGAAAATAATTTATATATATTCTTCTCTTTACAGATTTCCTTACATCTAAAAACGTCCAGTGTTTTTTCTCTTTAACATCTGACTCGTGGTTTGCTTTAAATTCTCTGTTTGATATGAACCTTTGAAAGGAAGAAATCAAGTATGCACAAGTGAACTACTGCAGAAGGTCTTAACAACCCAGAGAGGCATGTACAGATGGCGAAATTTATGCCACACAGGTTGGCGGTTGCGCAGAGAAAAGCTAATGTGTCTATGATGCAGTGTCTGTGTCTGGTGACCTTTGCTCACAATTCAGACGGACTGCCAGGCCGTCCAGTTCATAACGTTGCCACTTATTGCATTCGGTGATCGTTCTAGATCGCCAGATCCTTGCAAATTCAATCATCTACTCCATTTCACTTGTCTGCATGTGTATTAAATAATGGCAACATTAAGCCATAGCAAAACAACGCGATTGAACTTGAAACATGACAATGTCAATACAGCAAGCCATTACCAGATAATGATTTTAACAGTTTACCCAGTGATTGTTTCTTTATCAGTTCAGTAAGTAAATATATTTCATTAAATCCAGATAAGAGGCAGGATTAAATAAGTGTTCACCTCTTCCTACTCCTTTTCAAACAGAAAAGTAGCAGTAAAAAAATTATTTTGTCCTTGGTTATGTCTGCACATGTTCTCCTTTCTACTGCTTGCTTGTTCTATTGTTCTATAAAACCTGCTTGAAATAAATAAATACAAACTTCCCCTTAAAAAATGTCCAAGGGGTTCACGTACGTCTAGGCTAAATTTGGCAGGTATTTGGTTTAAAAGTGAATGATTTTCATATTAAAGGTTCAACTTACATTTCAATGTTCTATGACTGCATCCAAGTGGTCAGATAATAGCTGAATTAACAAGAAAGTAAGTCAGTTTCAAGCTTACAGCATACTGAAGTGAGCATAGGACAGACTCAATATTTTGCCCATGTTGCAATAGTAGTTTAATCAACTTTGCAGTAGAGGCATGCAAGCATGTTATACATGTCCTAGAAATGTGTTGCAGTTGTGTTTAATGGTTAAATTATGCTCACCACAATGTCATCTGCAAACCATGAAATCATTTCCTCCCAAAACCATTGAAACAAAAGGCATATGTTGTAATGGAAGTAAAATTATTTTTTGACGTCGTTTTTGACAAAGGGAATAAAAATACATGAAAAATAAAGAATTCAAACCCCCTGAATACCTGACCTTTGAGTGAAGATTAGAAAGCAACATGCTCTGAATGCTTCTTCCACTTAAAGCATGCATGATTTAAAAGATGGACTCATGGTTCAGCAAACACCACAAGCCTAAAGAGGGAAGTCAAATGGCAAAACAACAGCTAAGGTGGAGCTAATTGGCTGGGAAGAAAACATAAAAGCAGAATTTTCTCTGTTCCAGAGAGGGAAAGAGAAAAAAAAATAAATTTACAGCCCACTAACAGGCTCTGAGAGGAAGACAGCGGCCCATCTGCCTCTGATCACAGCCTGTAGAGAGGCAACACTTGTGCCGCTCTGGTGTGGGGTTTGGTGTAAGCTCCTTTGTACCCGGAATGAATAAGAAGATTCTTCAATATGGGTTGAGAACCCAGAGATAAGTTAAAAGCTTAATGACAAAATGTGTAACCATGGCATTCATGTGAGCGGGGCTCCTTAACTCTTCCGCTGCTTGTAGCTACAGGAGTACTCGAGATAAGCATTGTGCCAATGCTCTCAGTGGATCTGCCCTGCTTCTACCTCTGAAAATAGCACTATAAGGAGGTCTTCTTGAAATAGTCTCATATCACATCCTGGTACCTCACTTCCACGTACCGCAGGGCCCATACATGCAGCACCAGCGTTCGGAGCCCAGATGAGGTTCAAATGATGGACAGCCCCAGCAGGCGTAATGATGTTTAAATTACAAACGGGTTACTATCGCAATGTTTTCTCCCTCGGGGCTGTCGGAGCAAACTCATTTCATAAACACAATGATCCCTAAAATATTCATAACAAACAAGAAAATGGGGTCAGACGCCCTCCTCCTTCTCATCTATCGCGTTTTTCTTTTAAGCACATTTATTATACCCACTAATGACTTATAGGATCACAGCATCACAACAATGCCTATAAGGTTTGGTCTTTTGCAAGTGCTCAGACAAATTGGAGGTTTTGTACAACAAAGGCAGGAATTATAATGGTATGCAGCCAAGACAATTTGTATTGAGGCTGATAGTGCACTGAGGACAATGATAAAGTGCTGTAATAAAATTCAAACAAAAGCCAGTAAGACAGACGAGAGGAGACTTACAGCTCGGAGAGTTGGAGGTGCTGGAAGAGCTGCCATGACAGGGTGGTTAGCGGATTCTTCGACAGGTTTCTGTGGGGAAAATGAAAAGCAAAAGAGAGCGATAAATGTAATTTACTTTATTCATAATTACCCATATTCCATCTTGTTTACAGCACCTTTTCTACATGAATATCTGATGTATTTTTGTTTAAAATGTCCCTTAAAGCTTTTTTTCCCCCCTTGGCTTACTTAAAAAAAAAACACATACAAAAAGTGAAATAGTACAGCTACTTCTTTCACATTTTGGTAATCGTATGTGACAAAGTGGCTAAAATTGTACTTCTTCACCACTTGTTCCTTAAACATACTTCTAATTTATTTCATATTTCTATAGTTATCTTAAACATTGAGGTTGTAACTTTGCTTCACTTACTATCCCGGGTGTGTTTGTTGTAGCATTATTTAGCAGTTTACGTGCTTTTTTTAAAGCCAGCTCTACTGAATTATTAGATAACTTTGAATGTTTCTCTGTTAAAAGGTGAATTTCTAGTACATTACTTGGTTTGTTTCTTTTACACTCACCATTGTTTGTCCCTTTACATTAGTGGTGTCAAACTCCAGTCCTCACGGGACAGTGTCTCTCTGCTTAGCACACCTGGCTCCAATATTAGCTTATTAGCAGAGCTCCGAAGAGCGTGGCTGCATGCTAGTGAGACAGTTTAGCTATTTAGTTCAAGTGTGTAGGACAAGAGACAATCTAAAGGTTGTGGGACTCGAGGTCTGCAGTTTGAAACCACTGGCTTAGATTCTACAACCATAACCATACACATAATATAAGGATAGACGCCACATGGACCGCTCTCGCCTATTGTCGCTGACGAGACTTAGGGTGGCCATCTTGG